TTTTGTAAAGAAGTCGAGGGAAAGCACCACAAGAAGTAGCAGCTTTGCTACAAGTGTCGACACAAGCAAACAGAAATGTTTACAGTCCAACCAGGTCACAAAGACTGACGATGGCCAAATATCTCAGAATTACTGTTTGCACTGTGACAAGAATCTCACTCTTAACAACTGTGAGATGTTCCAGAAGCAAACGCACGAGGAAAAGGTTGAATATTTGAAATCCAAAGGTTTGTGTCTTGGATGCCTTGTTCCCGGAAACATCCAAGCATCCTACATGTGCAGAGGGATGAAAAGACACCGCCCAAAAAAGACCAGAACAGCACATGTGCAAGTCAGACCATCGATGCTGTAGGACAGGAGACGTGTGGACACACTGGGGCCATGGTTCCTGTAAAATAAGGATGGAGACATTCGTCTTTATTGACCCTGGCAGTTCAGTGACCTTTTGCACAGAGAAGATCATGAGAACACTGAACTTAATATACATATACGCTTTTTATATTTTTATACCACTATACTATAATTTAGGACAGTATCGTACTTTTATTTCATTTTAAGCTAATGTTTATGAAATGTTTTAATGTTCAAAGGTTATTGTTGCACCAGGGGTCTGACAGTAATGTAATTTCAATCCTGTGTATGTCCTGTACATGTTGCACTTTGGACCGTAAAGTGACTTTGACTGAAGAGGAGAGAGACGGACATTTTGCTCCAAACTATGGGACACGAGAAGCTTGTCCATAGTCACATCTGTCAGACCTGGAAGTCGTGGATTTGAAGAGGAACGATACATTGACACCCTCGGTGTTCACACAACATGAAATTCCTGTGAAAAGGGAGAACATTCCTGATAAGAAAGACCTCCAGAGGTGGACGTATTTGGATGAAGTGCACCTTCCAAGCATTAAGGCAGAGATTGACCTGTTGATCGGTGCCAACGCCCACAAAGCTATAGAGCCGTGGAAAGTCATCGGTAGTCGAGGAGACGGTCCATATGCAGTAAAAACTGATTGGATGGATTGTCAGGGGTCCTGTAAAGGGAGAAGATCACATGCAGCACAGTGAGAATGAGTTGTAGAGTCTGCCATTAGAATATCAGTGGCAAGTATGGAGGATTTGCTGACGCAGCAATATAGTTCTGACTTCACGGAGCGCAGCTGTGGAGACAGAACAGATGTCACAAGATGATCTGCAGTTCATGAAAGATGTGTCTCGTCAGTTTATTGATGGACATTTCTGTACAAGTCTCATTTAAAAGCAAGACTCAGAGAGCAGAGAGCCATCAATCTCAAGAAAAGACTCCTGAAGAACCCTGAGTTTCTTGCTGACTGTGAAGCTTTCATGTATGACATCATAGCAAAGGCGTATGCTGAAAAGGTGCCTACAGACAGTCACTGCACCAAAGGAGAAGTGTGGTACATCCCACGTCCCGGCGTATCGGCCAAAAAAGAAGAAAATGCGAGTTGTTTTTATTGTGCAGCGACATATCAGGGAGTTTCTCTGAACAACCAGTTCCTCCAAGGCCCAGACCTCACAAATACCTTGGTTGGAGTGTTGACAAGGTTTAGAGAGAAGGTTGCATTAATGGCTGATATAGAAGCAATGTTTTATAATAATAATAAATAATAAAGTGCCATGTGTTGCCATCAGTGCTTGCTCTCATACAAAGATGAAATTGACTCTGCATTTAGTCAGAGAGTTTCTTTATTGTCATTCGCACCTCATGTGGTACATGTGGTGGAGCGAAATTATGTACACAGGGTCCCAGTTACATCCAACAATAAAATGTCTAAGAAAAACAGTAATAACATCTAAGATATGAACTAAGAAAAACATCAACTAAATATACACTAAGCACTCATAACATAAAACATTGAACATCAGCACAAACATGAACATGAGTCTGTGAGCAGATGTGCACGCATGAACACATCAACATTGAAACAGATCAGCAGCAACATGAAACAGATCAGCAGCAACATGAAACAGATCAGCAGCAACATGATGTGATTATTCTGGTTAGAGATTCATGAGTCTGACAGCCTCAGGGTAGAAGCTGTTCCTCAGTCTAGTGGTTCTACACTTAATGCTCCTCAACCTCCTTCCTGAGGGGAGCGGGACAAAAAGTGTGTGTGCTGGATGAGTGTGGTCCTTCATGATGCAGGTGGCCCTCTTCCTGCATCTGGAGGTGTAGATGTCTGTGATGGTGGGGAGACGGACTCCAACATCTTCTGTGCAGCCTTCACCACTCTCTGCAAAGCTTTTCTTTCTGCAGCTGTGCAGCCTCCATGCCACACGTTGATGCTGGAGCACAGGATGCTCTCCACTGCACACCTGTAGAAGGAGGTGAGGACTGAGCTTCCAGACCAGCTCGTCTCAGCCGCCTGAGGAAGTAGAGTCTCTGATGATCTTTCTTCATCAGGCTGGTGGTGTTGTTGCTCCAGCTGAGGTTGTTGTTCAGGTGCTCACCCAAGTACTTGTAGCTGGAGACCACTTCCACTGCAGATCCTCTTATGTTCAGGGGGGTTTAGATGTTTTTGTTCCTTCTGAAGTCCACATCTTAACCCATCACACCTGGGATACACCCAGGTGGAGCATGCAAGCGCCCGCTGGCTTCATCAAAGTTGGAGGTCGACTGAACAAATCAGCCATGCCAGAGGAAGCCAGGTGCCCAACTGTGTTGCACAAAGAGCGTCACATTAAGCTGATTCTGCAACAGAGTCATCGTCAGAATGGTCACTGTGGAAGGAACCAGCTGGTTGCAAAAGTCAGACCCGATACTGGATACCAGGATCGAACAGTCGCCCGCACAGCAATATCAAAATGCACCACATGCGGGAAATTCCATGCAAAGCCTGCAGTCCAAAGCATGGCAGACCTATTGGAGGAGCGTGTGCTCCCAGACAAGCCTCCATTCACACATGTGGGACTGGACTATTTTGGACCGTTGGGTGTAAAAGAGGACGCAGCATAGTGAAGCACTATGACGTTCTGTTTACGTCTTGCAGAGAGCAGTTCACATAGAGGGGGCACATTCTTTGGATACCTCATCATCAGAAGGTTCACATGTAGAAGAGGTCAAGTTTCTACCGTACGGTCAGACAATGGAACTTGGTGCTGAGGAAGAGCTCAGAGAGGCCCTGGCAGAGCTTCACCGCTCCAAAATAAGAGAAGATCTGATGCAAAAGAGCATCTCATGGACCTTTAACAGTCCAACTGCCTCCCATCAAGGTGCATTATGGGAAAGACAGATTCATACTGTTGGGAAGGTGTTAAACTCTGTTTGGAGGCCGCAGAACTTAGATGATGATGATGGCCTTCACACACTGTTATGCAAAGTTGAAGTAATCATAAATGATCGTCCTTTGACTGCTGCATCAAATGATCCAAATGACCCCAAATCATCTTCTGTTATTAAAGAAGCAGCCAGTCCTTCCTCCAGGCCTGTTCGACAGTGATGATGTGCCACGTTGAAGATGGAGACACATACAATACATGGCCGACTTGTGTTGGTCCAGACGGACACAGGAACACCTTCCAGCGGTGGCAGACTCAAAGGAGGAACTTTGTGCCTGGAGATCTTGTGCTCACTGTTGACAGTTCTGCCCAAGAAAAGCTTGGTTGTCTGGAAGAATCCAAAAGACCTTCCTGGACTCCAGAGGAGTTGTGCGACGAGTTCAAGTTCAGACCAATCTAGTGTGTTGCATAGATCTATAGGTTTGTTACAGGAAACACGACGAGTCAAGAAAAGACTCCTGATGGACTTAAAGGCAAAAACCCTGATAGATTTTTAGGTTAAAAGTTAATAATTCACGTTAATTGATAGTTATGGCTCTTTTTGAGTTGTACGGTAATTGTTATGCATCCTGCCTTTACACTTAGGGGCCGGAATGTTGGAGCCATGCATAAGAAATATTTAGATTATACATTTTGTGCCTTTTTGTTTTTTTAATTTTTACCATTTTAGTAAGTAAGGTTAATATTAGTTCAGGTCAGCTTTATGGTGAAATTTAGTTTTATTTTGAAAAGCCTTACTAGAGCTGCTGCCTCTCAGCGAGCAGGTCCCTGGTTCAAACCCCGGTCCAGGGGCCTTTCTGGGTGGAGTTTGCATGTTCTCTCCGTGCATGCGTGGGTTTTCTCCGGGTACTCCAGTTTCCTCCCACAGACCAAAAACATGCATGTTAGGCTGATTGGTAACTCTAAATTGTCCCTAGGTGTGAGTGAGAGAGTGAATGGTTGTTTGTCTCGTTTGTCTCTATGTGTCCCTGTGATGGACTGGAGACCTGTCCAGGGTGTCCCCCGCCCCTCGCACAGTGATTGCTGGACATGGGCACCAGTGACCCCCGTGACCCAAAATGGAAGAAGCGGGTAAAGATAATGGATGGAGGCTTACTTCCTGTTTAGTGTTAGGTTAGAGAAAATACAGATGGCAGAAGGACTGTATAAAGCGGAGCGATACAGTTTTTGATCGTGTTTCCTCTTTTAGAAAGAAAGAAAAAAAAACATTGATTTTGGATCGTCAATTTTCTTAAAGATTTTTTGTTCAATTCACTGTTTTGCACGAGTGCTTATAGAATGACACAGATGTTGGATCTGTTGCCATAACATCTAAAAAAAAATAAATCTGGTCCTCTGGACATTCAAAAAAAACCAAAACAAAGCAAAACAACAAAAAAGTAGAAACGTTTCGTCTCTCGTCCGAGAGACTTCCTCAGTCTGAGGTGCTGTATTCAGCTCAGTCTCTTAAATAGCACCTTCTCAGGGTGGATCAACCAGTTTTGCTGCTGACAACCAGAACCAGCTGATCACATGCTCAAGAAGGACCATCAGCCTAACAATGGATCATTAGCACCTGATGGCTGTTTACTGTTTTAGGTTCAGAACATGAAGCAACAGCCCTAAGTCCTCTTCTGGTCCCATCAGAACTCTGCACTGGTCCAGGTGTCCTGGTACAGTCCAGGTGATCAGAACCTGTTTGTTCTTGTGGTTCTGGTCTGCAGGTCCTCGGGAACAGCTGGTCTACCTGCCCTGCGTCTACCGCGGCACCGGCACCCAGAAGCCGGACTACCTGGCCACCGTGGACGTGGACCCTGAGTCCTCCACCTACAGCCAGGTAGACCAAAACCTGATCCTGGTCTGGATTCTATCCCCCAACACCAGACCGCTGCTTCAGACTTCCTCCTCCTCCTCCTCCTCCTCCTCCTTCTTCTTCTTCTTCTTCTTCTTCTTCTTCCTCCTCTTCCTCCTCCTCCTTCTTCATCTTCCTCCTCTCAGGTTGATGCAGGAAGGTTTTGATTTGCCCTCATCTGGTTCTGGTTTTGGTTCTGCAGGTGGTCCACCGGCTGCCCATGCCCAACCTGAATGACGAGCTGCACCACTCGGGCTGGAACACCTGCAGCAGCTGCTTCGGAGATCCGTCCAAGACCCGGAACCGCCTGATCCTGCCGTCCCTCATCTCCTCCAGGATCTACGTCATCGACGTCGGGACGGAGCCCCGAGCTCCGAGGATCCACAAGGTCCGTCTGCCTGACCTGCTGGCAGCCATGTTTGTAGTTAAACTGCTGGCAGCCATGTTTGTAGTTTTTAGGGGCTCTGAAGTTGGACTTCAGATCTTGGTTTTCCTCTAGAACCGTTTTATTGTGTTCTACAAAACAACGAAAAACAACTTCTAAATGTGATGCTGACTTGTGGAAATCAGGTATTTAGAGAGGGAAGAACAGAACCGGTTCTGGACCTGGTTGTCTCAACAAGTACAGGAAGTACCACAGGAACCAACGGCTACAAAATAAAAGCTGAAGTTTGTGTGAAAACTCCAGAGAACTTTTCTGTCAGAGATCCAAGTCGTGAAGAAACGGGAGGTTCATGTTCTGTTCAGCTCCCACGGGCCTCATAAGACCAGGACCAGAACATCTGGACTGGATGAGAACAAACGTCTGTTTCAGGTACACGTTATTTCATTGGCTCCTGAGAGGGGGAGGGGCTATGTTCTCTGTCTAATTGTAATATCTCGTCCATTAACTGCCCTAGCTGAACCAAATCCTTCTTCTTGTTTGCACAATAAGAAATTATTTGACCCCTCAGGTAGGCCTTCAATGCCTCCCACACAGTACAGAGGGACATTCCTGGTGTTCGGGTCCAGCTGAGGTGTGTGGCACATATTCCGCGACTCAATCGTTGAAGTGGCTGTCTTGAGCTGTGGCCGCAAGATTGTGCTTCTCACGGTGACCATCCTCAAACTCGATGGTGGACACCCCCAGGTTAGGGAGGCCGTCAAGCTGAAGAAGGAGTCCTATCAGTCCTTGTTGGCTGGTGGGTCTCCAGAGACAGCTGAGGAGTACTGCAGGGCCAAGCGGTCTGCAGCCTTGGTGTTGCTGAGGCAAAAGCTCGGCTGTGGGAGGAAGTCCTTGGATAAAGACTCTTGGTCGGCTCCGAGAGTCTTGTGGGGCTGTCTTGGTTGACACGCCTTTGCAACATTGCATGGACATCGGGGGGCAGTGCCACTAGATTGGCAGACTGGGGTGGTGGCTCCCCTCTCCATAAAGGGGGACTGGAGGGTGTGCTCCAATTACAGGGGCATCACTCTCCTCAGCCTCCCTGGTAAGGTCTATTCAGGGGTACTAGAAAAGTGAGTCTGATCGCTGGTCCAACTTCAGATCCAGGAGGAACAATGTGGGTTCCATCTTGGCCGTGGAACACTGGACCAGCTCTTTACCCTCACTAGGGTCCTGAAGGGCTCATGGGAGTTTGCCCATCCATCCAGTCTACATGTGTTTTGTGGACCTGGAGAAGGTGCTCCACCGTGTTCCTCGGGGTACACTGTGGGGGGTGCTCCGTGAGTATGGGGTTGGGGGCCAGTTGTTACGGGCTGTTCGGTCCATATTAGGGCTGGATAATAATTTGATATCGATACGTGTCGCAATATACTTTTATTCAATAACGGTGTTATGAGTTTTAAGCACATTTTTGATATTTCGATATGATGACATCGTTTCACGGACACATTTATTTTTCCGTTCAGGTTGAAGCGGCCGCTTCAGTTTCAACCCGGACAGAAAAAGGTGCGACACAACTACGTGAGTGCGTGGTGGCGTAATGTTACGCAGAGCTCGAGTCCAGAAGGCGTTAGCGGTAGAAGGCTAGGCTAATCTCCAACGCACGTTGTTTTCACTTCAAAATGAGTTCCCATGACCGTCAGAATGTGACTGAATAAAGTTTCACAAGTGAAGAGGAAGCAGATTACATCACTGATGAGGAAAGACTAATTTAATGGTGTGGACCTGGTTCGGCTTTCTAAGATCCAATAAGCTGCAGGTTTCAGTCGGTGTGCTGCAAAATGTGACGGAGAGTCGTTCCAACTAGCGGTGGGAACATCTGACTTGTTCCATCTGAAGAGTTTCCACTCGGTAGAATCTGATGAGAGTCAGAAGATGAAGCACAATAAAAGTTTGACCCAACGTGTCCCTGAACCCCCCAGATGTTTCAAGAGAGAAACACCTGCAGCAAACGGACGTCTGCTGCACGGGTTGTTGGGTTATGTTGTTGTTTAAAGTTAAAACTATTAATATGGACAAAGTTGAGAGTTTTATGTTTATTTGACAGTGATTTCAATTTTTTTAAGGCTAAATACAAATAAAAGGTGAACATTAACTTATATGCACAGTTTGTACAGTTTTTCTGAGGCTTTTATTTTGTTTAAATCTAATTATATCTTTATCGACTGAAATTAAGAAATATACTATAATAAAAGTTTTGGCCATATCGTCCAGCGCTAGTCCCGATACACGTGGTGTGAGAGTTTGGTTTGTGTAGCCGGTAGTAAGTCGGACCCTTCAGGGTGAGAGTTGGACTCCTCCAGCTGCTCGTTGTCTCAGATTCTGTTCAGAACTTTTATGGGCAGAACTTCTCGGTGCAGTCAGGGGGTGGAGGGAGTCCGGTTCAGTGGCCTCAGGATTCATCTCTGCTCTTTGCAGATGATGTGGTCCTGTTGGAGTCATCGTGCCGTGGTCTCCAACTCACACTGGAGCAGTTCTCAGTCGAGTGTGAAGCAGCTGGGATGAGAACCAGCACCTCAAGATCTGAGGCCGTGGTCCTCAGTCAGAAAAGGGTGGATTGTTCTCTTCAGGTCGAGGGTGAGGTTCTGCCTCAAGTGGAGGAGTTCAAGTATCTCAAGGTTCTGTTCACGAGTGAGGGAAGAATGGAACTTGAGATTGACAGATGGATTGGTGCAGCATCTGCAGTATTGTGGACTCTGTGCCGGTCCGTTGTGGTGAAGAGGGAGCTGAGCGGTAAGACAAAGCTCTCTGTTTACTGGTCGGTCTACGTTCCTCCCCTCTCCTCTGGTCATGAACTCTGGTAGAGACTGAAAGAATGAGATTGTGGATCCAGGAGGTTGAAATGAGTTTCCTCTGCAGGGTAGCTGGACTCTCCCTCAGAGACAGGCTGAGAAGTTCATTTATCAGGAGAGACTCAGAGTAGAACCACTGCCCTCCCACATCCAGAGGAGCCAGTTGAGGTGGTTTGGGCATCTGGTACGTATGCTCCCTGGGCGCCTCTCTAGGGAGGTACTTTGGGCATGTCCGACTGGGAGGAGATCCCGGGGAAGACCCAGGGCATGCTGGAGAGACATCTCTCTGTTGACCTGGGAAAGCCTTGGAATCCTCCCAGAAGAGCTGGATGAGGTGGCTGTGGAAAAGATGTCTCTGGCCCTCCCTGCTCAAGATGCTGCCCCCTAGACCCGACTTCGGAACAAGCGAAAAATAATTGATGGATGGATGGATGATTGTAGATATCCGGTATGTTTGATAAGAAGTTAATAAAAATGTTGAGTTGTCCCATTTGGGAGCATACACCAAAACTAAGATCACTGGAATTGTGTATAAGTTCCCCACCACTATAACACCACCCAGCAATATCGGCATGCACACTCGAGGCTGTAAATTGCACCTGTTTACCAACTGTAACAGCTACACCTCTTGATTTAGATTGAAAATTGGATTGAAACACCTGACCAGATCATTTTTAAATAAACTTTCCACTACTTGCAGAGCGCACATGGGTCTCCTGTAAAAAGGCAGTATCGGTGTTCAACTGTTTTAGGTGTGACATAATTTTCTGGAATTTTACTGGACCATTAAAGGAGTTCACATTCCAACTCACACAGTTAACTGGGCAGACATTAGAGTAGTTAACATCCTTAACGGTGGTCATGTTTGAACAGCAAGAAATAATTTACATACAAAATATCACAAGCCAGTTTCTGATAGAAGAAACAAAATCCCCTAAAAGATTGATCCGGTACAAACCCACCCCTCTCTCCTACCCGAACACAGAGAGAACGAAAACTACTGTCAACTGAGCATCATGGAGAACACAATCCGACCATCGGGGCTCCTGTCCGCCCACATATGATATAAATAATAATTTAAAAAACATACAAAGAAACAACAACAAAACAAAAAAAATCCTACAAATATCAACATAATTATGAAATGTGCACCTAAAAATAATACTAATTAAAAAACCACTCCCATTTTAGACCAGATTTACGATAATCAGCGTGCCAGTGCTGTGCATCGCCCTCCAATACAAATAAAATGTACATAACGCCGTTAAAGGACCAAACAGCCAAATATTGAGTCAAACACAAGCTTAAAAAGCTGCTGGTTGAGGGAGGCTGATTCTATGCTTTCTTCCACTCCTTGCCGCCTGTTGCTGGACTGAGGTTCCACCTGTCGCTGAGGGCAGCGCGGACCTGAGTGAGCGTGCACCTGACGCACAAAGCACGTATCATCATTTTAAGTTTAAAATTAGGCCACAGGAAAGGTGCAGCTCTATGTAAGTTGTGGGAAATGATTTTGCACTCCAGTACTTCTGCGGTGCACAAACACCTGCTGGAGGGAGTCTGTGTGAGGACTGTGTTGCTTCAGTTTCTCATTCCAGAGGCAAACAAGGTTGATAGTGGGATATTTGTCACCTGAATTGCACAGACTGTAAGGTACACAGTGCTGGGTCGTGTCTCGCCCATCTGGAGAACAGTCTTTGAGAGCTGTGCAGATAGAACAGATTGTTTTCTATACCACACAAGTGCTTCAACAGCCGCAATGGTCACACATTTCTGTAGCATTTCCTGCAAGTGCGTCAGGGTCCAGAATCCAGACCTCAAACTTTGCACCATTCTGGCTTTGAAAAGTGAGTTCTCCCGTTTTTAGCTTTTCTTTTATACATTTTTGCTCCTTTATGTCACTTAATTGTGTGCGGGTCAAGTGTTAATCCTCAGATGTGCTATAAGAGAAGTAAAGCAGGGTGGGCGGGGCCATGCCTAATTGTTGCGCAATACGCCGCCTGCGCTACTCTCTCTTCACAGTCAGATTAACTTGTGCACTCTATTTTATTTATTTGCATTCCTCATCAGTAAATTTACTGTTACAGCCTCCCCCTCTTTGTAGATTAACATGCTGTTATATTGTGCATTATTTAGTTTGATTTCTGCTGTATGATTCATAAAACCACATCAAAGCCCGAGACCGCCCCACCCCGCCCATTAATCACATTATAACGGCCTGGTCCAGCCCTAATCCGGGTCGGTCCGGGCTGGGTATCGGGTTAGAAATAACGGCTCTAAATTGCGCTCCATTAACGTTGAAGAATTTTATTTAACTTGGAAAGATAGTCTGCTAACATATAAAAAAGTCCGGTTTGAGTTCACCCTCACCCATCTAACTCCTAAGTCGTGCATTCCTGCACGTAGGACTCGGACCATTAACCACTTCACTGCCACACGTTTCACAGATATTTATAACTCTGAAAAGATAATTCAAGCCCCAGTGTTTCTCACCACCACTGAGGAGCTGATATCCCAGTTCAACTCTGTCTGCTTAAAGACTCTGGATCATGTTGCACCTGTTAAAACCAAAAAATCTAAACTGAGAGCAGAACCTTGGCTGAGTGACGTCACCAAGGCCGTTAGGCAGCAATGCAGGAGGGCGGAGAGCAAATGGAGGAAAGACAGGCTGCAGGTCTCTTTCCAGATACTTAAAGAGAGTTGGCGCTGTTATCAGAAAACAGTGAAAGCTGCTAAATCAAAATACTTCTCTGATATAATTACCTGAAACTCTCACAACCCACGTGTCCTCTTCTCCACCCTAAACTCTGTTCTCCACCTCACTGAACCATCTCCTCTGGAAGCCTCGACTGACCTGTGCGACAACTTCCTACATTTCTTTTTGGAAAAAATTGCGACCACCCGTGCTCTCATTTCCCCTCCAACTCATGACCCATCCATCCCACCTCAATCTGTAGCTCCTTTTGACCATTTTGAACCCAACACTCTATCTTCTCTAGAGCAGGTCATGTGCAGCTTGAAACCTTCTGGCTCCCCCTTTGATGTGGTCCCCCCTCGACTACTAAAGGAGGTGTTTCCAACTCTAGGTCCGTCCATTCTTGATATAGTAAACAGTAGTTTATCCACTGGTGTGGTGCCAAAATCCTTTAAACATGCTGCTGTCCAGCCTCTCCTGAAAAAAACCCAACCTTGACCCCTCAGTCGTTTCCAACTTCCGGCCTGTCTCCAAACTCCCATTTGTTTCTAAAGTACTGGAGAAAATAGTCGAGTCCCAGTTGAAGTGCTTCCTGGAGGATCACGCCATCTTAGAGCTTTTCCAATCTGGCTTTAAACCTCTCCACAGCACTGAAACTGCCCTGCTGAAGGTCTTTAACGACATCTTCAGATCCACAGATACCGGTGATTCTGTGCTGCTTGTCCTGTTGGACCTCACAGCCACCTTTGACACCATCGACCATGAGATCCTCATTGCTAGGTTGGAGCAGTGGGTGGGCGTCACAGGATCATCCCTCAGTTGGTTCAGATCTTACCTCGCTGACAGATCCTTTTGTGTCTCCATCAAGGATTTTAGTTCCGCAGAGGCAGAGCTTAAATGGGGGGTTCCGCAGGGGTCCATCCCGGTCCCCTCCTATTCTCTTTATATCTGCTGCCGCTTGGTGCTATTTTCCGGAAACACAACACGCCCTTCCACTTGTATGCCGATGACTGTCAAATTTACTTCCCCCTAAGACACAATGGTACATGCTCTATTCAACCGCTGCTCAACTGCCTGGCTGACATCAGGGACTGGATGGCTTTAAACTTCTTAAGTTTCAATGAAAAGAAGTCTGAAGTCTTGTTGTTCCCTCCCAACGACACGATCACAAACCACTGCATCGACCTCTCCGCTCTAACCCTGTCAGAAAAACAAAGAGTCACTAATCTGGGCGTGATAATGGACCCTTCCCTGAAACTTAACAATCATGTAAACATGATCATTAAATCATGCTTCTTCCAGCTGAGGCGGCTGTCTAAACTGAAGCCCATGTTGTCCAAAAAGAACCTGGAGACAGTAATACATGCATTCATTACGTCTAGGCTTGATTACTGCAATTCACTCCTGTTTGGTATCAGTCAGACCTCCACTGCACGACTACAACTGGTCCAGAATGCAGCAGCCCCATTTTTAACCAGTACAGACAAAAGAGAACACATTACACCAGTTTTGGCCTCACTGCACTGGTTACCAGTTCACTTTCGAATCCAGTTCAAAATACTGATGTATGTCTACAAATCATTGAACAGTGTGTCCCCCCATCTCTCTGATCTGCTACAACCGTATGTCCCACCACGCTCCCTGAGGTCAGCGGACCAGTTGCTCCTCACAGTTCCAGGAACTCGTCTTAAGTGCAGAGGTGACAGGGCCTTCTCTGTAGCAGGACCAAGACTCTGGAACGAGTTACCTCTGCTTGTCAGACAGGCCCCCTCCCTCTCGGTTTTCAAGTCCCATTTAAAAACTCACTACTATTCAGTAACTTTCAACACCAGATGATCTGTGTTTTGATCCTGTATGCTCCACACTGGTTAGTCGTCATTATCTGCATCGTTTTTATGTCTATATTCTGATTTACCTCATTTTGTATTTTGCTTTGTGTGTTACCTGTTGTTCTGTCTGTACAGCACTTTGGTTGGCCTTGTTGCTGTTGTAAGTGCTTTATAAATAAAGTGGTATGGTTAAAGCCAGGGAGTAAAAATGTGTTTTTAAAAGAGTTTAAAACTGGACAGTGAAGGAGCTCGTCTGATGAGATGAGGGAGATTGTTCCACTGTCTTGATTCAGAAATTCTGGCCAACTATAGACCTATATCTAATCTAACTTTCATCTCAAAAATTCTAGAGAAACTAGTTGCAGGTCAGTTGCGTGAACATCTACAAAGAAAAAATCTGTTTGAAGAGTTTCAGTCAGGGTTTAGAGCTTATCATAGCACAGAAACAGCACTAGTAAAAGTACCTAATGATATAATATACTAATCATCTTTCAGTTATCAGGCTCCTCTCTTGTGGAACCAACTTCCAGTTTCTGTCTGTGAGGCTGACACATTGTCCAGTTTTAAAACTAGGATCAAGACTTTCCTTTTTGATAAATCCTATAGTTAGGGTCGGCTTGGGTTTCCTGAGCTGTCCCTTAGTTATGCTGCTATAGTCTTAGACTGCTGGAGGACAAACTGACCACAAGTTTCACTCTGCTGCTGTCTTTACTTACTCTGCTCAACCTGTTTTGTATTTGTAATTATTTTTTTCTATCCTTAACATGAGTTTTTGTCTTTCAGGTACACCTGGACTTATACCTGGACCTGGACCTGAACCTACATCTGGACCTGGATCTATACCTGGACCTACCATTCTGTGTTCGTCTGTCTCTCCTTCCTGTCCTCTCAACCAGCCGGTCAAAGCAGATGGTCTCTTGTCCTGATCCTGGTTCTGCTGGAGGTTTCTTCCTGTTAAAGGGAGTTTTTCTTTCCACTGTCTCCACTGTGCTTGCTCAGGATGGGAGACTGCAACGAAGCCAAGATTTAACTTGTCTGCTGGATTCTTAGATAGAGAACTTTACTAACTGGCTTTTATATGAATGTTCCTGTAAAGTCCCTGAGACAACTTTGTTGTGATTTGGTGCTTTAGAAATAAACTGAATTGAACTGAATTGCTGTTCAGAACCATCTTTAAGATGACTGACCCATACCTCTCTGGTTCTGTCTTCAGATGGTGGAACCAGTGGATCTGTACTGGAAGTGTGGCCTGGCCAACCCTCACACCAGCCACTGTCTGGGCAGTGGTCAGATCATGATCAGCTGCATGGGCGATCCATCAGGGGGGGGCAAAGGTAAGACCTGCAGAGAACTTGTGAACCCGGTTCAGATTCAGAGTAAAAATTCAACATGGACAAGTTGGTGAAGAATCAACTATCTGAGAACCTGAACTGTGACCAGCACCACATCTAACTCTGGTGACCCATAAGGTGTTATAAACCATTAGAAGGCACTCTGGTCACGTAACCTTGGAGAGTTCTATAGCGATATGTGTGGTTGCCGGTCCGAGTCCCCGTGGTTGCCGGTCCAAGTCCCTGTGGTGGTCGGTCCAAGTCACCATTGTGGTTGGTCTGAGTCCCTGATTTTGTTGCAGGTGGCTTTGTTCTGCTGGATGGTGAGACGTTCGAGGTAATCGGTAACTGGGAGCATCCAGGCGAAGCGGCGCCTTTCGGCTATGACTTCTGGTACCAGCCTCATCACAATGTGATGATCAGCACCGAGTGGGGCGCCCCCAGAGCTCTGGCCAACGGGTTTGATCCAGCTGACGTTAAAAAAGGTGAGTCATTGTGTCCTCACTGAGTCCTCACTCTTGTCCTTCCCACACTGGGAACCATAAAAATTGGACTACCAGGAGACTCACTAAACACCACCAAGTTCTTGATCCTGTTTCAGAACTGTTCAGGCCCAGTAAATGTTCTCTGGATTATACAATATAATGTCCACTTCCCATTCTGTGGAGGTTCTGATCCCAGTAGGTGTCCAGCTATGACCTCAGTACAACTTTCACTTCTTCATAGTGGTCCCCTGTTCCCGCTCCAGGTCTTTATGGATCCTCTCTGCATGTTTGGGAATGGAGCACCCACAGGAAGCTGCAGACACTGGATCTAGGAGAAGACGGTGCCATTCCTCTGGAGGTCCGGTTCCTTCATGAGCCAAGTGCCTCTGAAGGCTACGTGGGCTGTGCTCTAGGTTCATCTGTCTTCAGGTTCTACAAGACACCGGTCAGTACCGCAAGGTTCACGAAGCTCCCCCAAACACCTCCAGTGTTTTTTATTTCCTTCTGAGACGGTTCATTTTTAGGCTAATCCCACAGAATCTGCTACAGAACCAGATCCCAGCTGGTTGATCCAGTACCAGGAAAACCACAAGAACAAGTTCTACCTGCAGAACCTGAGCTCGAGTTCATGGTTCTCCTGTTGGTTCATGTTTTGGCTGTTTGTGTTTCAGGAAGGTGAGTGGGCTGCAGAGAAGGTCATTGGTGTTCCCAAGAAGAAGGTGGAGGGCTGGATGCTGCCAGAGATGCCAGGTGAACCCGAGGTCTGAGCCCTGATCTTTGACCTCCTCAGCCCCTCACCTGTCTGACTCCTCACCCCTCTGCAGGTCTCATCACAGACATCCTGATCTCATTGGACGATCGTTTCCTGTACTTCAGTAATTGGCTGCACGGTGACATCAGACAGTATGACATCACAGACCGCAAGAACCCCCGATTGGTCGGCCAGGTGTGCTGATCAAACACCTGTCTGCTGCCGATATTGACCAGGTGACCTCTGAAAATCACACAGCTCACCTGTTCATGTGTTCCAGGTGTTCCTGGGAGGAAGTATTGTCAGTGATGGACCGGTTAAAGTCCTGGAGGACCTGGAAGAACAGGAGCAGCCCAGCCCGCGCTTCATAAAGGTTTCTCTTCGAAACTTCACCTGGTTCCACCTGTTACATGATTCAATGAAACTACTATAATTTCTGGTCTATAAGTCGCTATTTTTTCCACACGCTTTGAACCCCAGCTTATACAATGCTGCGGATAATTTATGGATTTTTTTTGACGGGCTAACGAGCTTCCTGCCATCAAAACATTTAGCCTCGTCACACCCGGGCGCTCACATTTACCCCTTTTCCATTATTGACGGTCTTCACGGCTCAACTTGACTTGGCACGGTTCCAAGGCTTTTCCACTAGTAATGGTACGTAGAACTGGTCCCTTTTTTCAGAACCCTTTTCTCTGTGGTACCAACCGGGCCGAGCAGGTACCAAAACGTGACGTCAGAACACTGTCGGTCACTGATTAGTCAGGGGGTGGAGTCACTGGCTGTTTGAGAAATTTCACCACATTCGATCCGCCATTTGCAACTACTGGTGCTCAAACTCAAGAAGCTGCTGGACCTATTTTAAAGAGTTTAAAAACAATAATGACAAAACTGGTCTAACGCTGAAGTGCAGGCGTTTTTCGTGCTTGGTGGCTGACGACAAAATTCAGAGCAAGCTGGATGGAGCTCCGCCGGTCCCCCCCGGAGCCTCGGAGCCAGACCATGCAGGGCGTCATCTCCCCGGCTCCGAGCTCCGTTGGCCACCGTGGAAGATCCTCCGTGCTGCCAACTCGGGGCTTGGGCTCTGGGCCGGCCTTGCGTGCTCTGCAGGCTCCGAGCTCCACTGTTCACCACGGAGAATCATACGAGCTGCTGACTCACAGATGATCGTTGCCCGGACCCCGGCCTTGCGTGCTCATGAAGACCGAACCCCGATCCCAGCAGATGGGTGGACCGGGACGGGTCTGGTGCATGGAGGGTGGAAACGATTTTTGAAAACATTTTATGTATAAAAAAAATTATGTATGTATATATATATTTTTTTTTATCAATGAAGATGAAAATAAATAAACGGTGCCGGCTTTATCATGAAATCTTTAGGTTACTGTCGTAACTCCGGTTCTCTGAGTAGCATGAGTGAGTGTCTCACGTTGGGAACGCCCTCGGCGTGACCTCCTCAGAAGCTTCTATTACATTACACCGACCAGGAGTGGCTGGAATAAGCCTGTCAGTGCCAAGGAGGGTGGGGGGTGGGGCCCTCCTCTATATGAAGGGCGGGGCCCTCCCCTATATAAAGGGCGGGGCCCTCC